TTGTTGAGATAGAAAGAGAAGAAAAATTGAGTTGAAAGAATGACAACGGTGCTAAAAATAGTGTTGAGAGAGAGTTTTGATTCCACTTACAAACTTCCAACAAATTCATATTCATATCTAACAAAAACACACTTGAAAATGACTTCCTTTACTACAGATCTTAGAGAAAACAATAAACTCTTATGAAGAAATCTGTTCTTGGAGAGAGAAGAACCAAGAGCAGAAGAAATAAGACTATACAAAGATGCTAGAAAGGAACCAAAAAAAAAAAACTTGAGTTACAAATTAATAATAACATATCATCGAACTTATCTAAAACTTTCTTATCACATGAAGAAGTCTACAAGATTCTTTCTGCATCTACTTTGATGCTGTGTTATTAAGAGGGCTCTTTCCCAGACTGGATGGTTTAGCTTCTGCACTTCTCTGTCCCGGTGTCCCTCGTCCGCCTGCTCGAGGACTGTGCTCTCCTCTTAGCTCGCTCAACCGAGGGCTGAAAGAGCGAAGGCTGTCTAAACTCTTTCGGTCACCTGTTGGGGTTGCTGTGGAGCTTGTGATCTTAGGACTGCTAATATGCCTAAACTCGCCACGGCTTCGGGTGATAACCTCATCTAAAATCTCCCCGTCTCCACCGAAAGAGGCTCCAGAACCCAGCTCGGCTTCCTGTTCACAGAATAATATCGAACTTGTCGATCAGCTCGGTGATTAGTAATCATATAACCACATCAAAATGCATATAAATCGAAGAATCAAATCGAGTGGCAGGCAGAAACCATAGGATGAGTTTAAGGTGAAGTTCAAGTGAGAATAGGTAATGTTACCATTGCGAGATTGAATGGTAAAGCCGGTGCTTCTTCATACTCAGCAGCATCGAGATCTTGAAGATGTGCACCTTTGAAAAACTTGGGAAGAAGGTACTGTCTTACTGGGACGAGGAGCATGATCATCAGAGGAAACATGACCCCGGCAATCGGAACCCATGTTAGTCCAAAACATATGAACAAGTATACAGTTTGGAAAATGGTAAATAGTGCAATCGACTTAAACGGCACGGTTTCGACGAAAGTTGCGTGGTAATCCTCAAGAACTCTGCAGGTGACAAGGGAAAAATGTTTATTACTTGGTGAAAGTTATCAAATTGAGAAGTAGAAATAGGATTGGAAGTTTTCATTACTTGTATCTTCTGCTGGGTGCAGTAAAGAGCAACAAGATTCTTTCCCAAAACTGGTTACCAGGCAAGCTTTCGATTGCCATGAATGCGAAGTAACCCCACAGAACCGAGGTCGGGATCTTCTTCAGGACCGGCATGGCTGCAACGCATCCCCCCACCATCGCAGCTTGAAGCAGATTACTGACACGCTGTTCTTTCACCTCAACAGGCAAGAGATCATCAATTTCCTTCTCGATGTCAAATATTGTCTCGTCGACTGGAGCATCGAAACTGCCCATACTCGAAGCTGCTTGAATGGTTGTTTCTTTTAGCTCATTCAGTCCCTGGTCACAAGTTTTTACATAGCTTAGGTGCAGAACACTTGGTGTATTAAGTTGAATAGTAACTTTCCTTTTCGTTTTTATTTTAAAGCTACAAGAATGCGACAAACGTGCTTCACCGGAGGTGAATTACTTGTATAAGTTCGAGCATGTTCGAGACAACTTCCTAGATGATTAAGATTGCCATATGTGAATGGTTTCTCTTGACCATGTGCAAAGAAAATCATCAACTTAAAGGGAAAAATCCGGTAGCTTACACGAACTGAGGGCTGTTGGTAGATAAGGGGGGTCTGCATTTGTTGATAAGCTTCTTGCATATTTCCATACAACTGTCCCAAGCTAGCATTCTTTCTCATACTACTCCGTGCCGTTTCGACAAGTTTATTCCGTAACAACTGCAAAATGAAACAGAATCTCTAAGTAAAACACCCCTAACGAAACAATGAAGTTCTAAATTGACAGTTAATTATCTGACACAAATTATCTCGGTTTGAAAAGATTATTGGAACCAAACCGATCGTTGTTCACCTGGTGCTTGAGAGTTGCTAGGCTCTTTGTATGCATTGGAGATTGTGGGATGACTCCATTAGATGGAGGGATTCCAAGAAGACCACATAATAAGGTCTGAAATAAGAAGACGAGATTCAAACTGTTATATCGATGTAACGAGCCAGATACCAAAAAGAAAACATGGAGATATCAGATAAGTAAAATGCTGCCGGAGTGGGATTCATTTCATACCAAGAATCCCAATAGAAGTAAATCATAATGGTATGAAGATGGTTTCCTCAAATTGAACTCTTTCTGCTGAGCAAGTTGAGATGCAACGCTGTGGTCGAAATAGTAGAGCACTGCAATCATCGTGGCCGGGATGAAAGCTCCACAGATATAAAGAACTGGAACATCAAGCATATCCTGCAACGTTGTAGTGAAAAATCGTCGGTGTTGTAGTTGAAGGAGAGAAGAGGGGAAAATAATGAAGCAGAGATTGAGCAGAAAAGTGATCAGCCTCACCTTAACAACAGTCCAATTTTCGTATGCACCGGGAGACCATGGGTTCGGGCTGAAGAGTCGCCTTGGGATACCATGTGGGACACTTTGTGAAGGTATATACGAAATACCTGTCCAGACAAGAACCATGAGCGGGACTCCATAGTCTGCAATCAAGCTTCTGAGCCAACCTGTCAAAACAATCCACGAAAATTATAAAATGAGTTGACTTTTTCATCTACTTCATGAGACAAAATTTCCAACTATGAAGAACTTGCTTGAACATCTCATCTTTTAGTTTGATTCCTGATCATACCAGATCCATATCGCCATGACCGTGCTTTTCGACTCCGTAAGGCAGTGAGTAGAAGGCCAAATGACAGTACCAAAGCAAACATCCCATTGGCAAACCTCCAAGAAGGTATAAACTCAATCAACTTCGGATTCTCTCGTTCCGGGATGCGAAACTCATCCACAAGTCCCTAAACACAAAGTCAAAACCTCAACTTATAAACGTTCTTCCTCTTCTTCTTCTTAAAGATTTAATGTACTAAACAACAAGCCTGTAAAATCAACAACAAAAGAGGGTGCATATTTCTTACTTTGATCGCTTGCTGCATAAAAAGCATTGCGATGAGCAAACCAAACAATTCACCGGCCAGACGTGTGAACCTATTGATGATGGAGCAAGCTCCCAATATAGCCATCAAGAACAGCAAGGCTGCAGTCCAAACACACACCCTATATAGATTTCACATGTTCAAACAAAATTGTATCAACCAGTAAAAGAGAAGTGCAATAGCGAAAAGAACTACTATATTTGTATATTCGTAACGATTTCAAAGGGATGATTTCTACTTTTCTTTGAAGCCAGTAGAAGAAGCATACCATCCACTCCATGCTAGAAACAGATTCCGTCCCAACTCGGGTCGTTCCTTTGCAAAATTAAACATGAAGGTGTACATAATGACGGTAGGCTCAGCAACTCCTAATATGAGCAAAGGTTGACCTCCAACAATGGAGTGTATGATCCCACAAAGAGCTGTGGAAGCTAAGGTTTGAACTGCTGTCAGCACCCCATCTACAAAAATCAATGACACAACACTTTAATAACTCAAAATGGTCCCATATCTTAACAAATCTCTTTATTTTCCCCTCTCAAATTCATTATTTTCCCCTCTCAATTGACAGATCTGACATGATGAACTTTCACAACAGTTTCTCAGTTGTTCTCACCAGTACTTCTCTCCAATTGTTCTCCAAATGAAATGACAGGAATGGCAGAGGCAAAAAATATGTAAGTGGTGGGAGCCAAAATCCTATTAAAACCAGAGAAAAACACCAAGAATTCCACATTCAATACCAGAACCAAAAGTCAAAAGGAACCAAAATTTCAAAAACTAAAGAACAATGGAGGAGAGATAATTATACCTATAACCAGCTCTCAATCCACCAGTCCAGTCCTGTGTATAGCACACTAATCTGCCTTTCAGGTCATTCTTGATTCCACGAAGAGGAACAAAAGTTTCCTCCATAACTTCAATATGGGTCTTCTTTCTTTACTTCAAAAACTCTCTGTAAGTAACAAAGGAAGAAGAAGAAGAAGAAGAGGACAAGTATTTCACAATGAATGAACTTCAACTTCTGGGGATCTTCAATGGCATTGCGATTGAACAAAGGGGGTTCTGAGAACTCGAATGAAAACTTAGAAATGGCAAATCAGTTACATGATTCAATGGGTTGGAGAGAATGAAAGGTGATTGAGGGGAGGATTTAATGAGGAACCGAAAGTCAAGAAATGGAAAAAAACTCAAATCTCAGAAACAGAGCAAATGGGTGTGTGGAGAAACAAGCAACATTGTGGATTATATAAGCTACAAAACGAGTTTGAGAATTGAAAAGGGAGAGGAAAAAAATAAAGGGACGGTGGAGGAATGAAGAGAAAGCGGGTAGATTTGATGCAGACATGGAAGCGGGTCAGAAGGGGGTATGAAAATGAAGCTCACTGTGATTTTCTTTCTCCTTAGTTTAAATTATAATTTTGATTCTCAACTTTGAGAGCCTGTGTCTAATATGTTCTTCACTTTTTTGGTTCTTTTCCCTAAATTTTAGAAAATATGTAACAGTCTCTCACTTCAACTCCACCTTTAAACAAATTTAGAATATAACAAATTTTAATTTTTGGAACCTATTAGGTATCATAGCAAAATGTTAGAGATTTATTAGTTATTAGATATTTTAAAGTTGGTAAAGATTTATGTTAAAATATATTTATGATCCTCTACTTTTATTAATTTTATCAAAGTAACGATTTAGTTTATAAACTTTTAGTTATGCTAGTAAGAAACACGTGCAGTGCACGTGAAATTTCAAAATTTTTATTTCAATGTCTAAAAATATAAAATTTATAATATAATTTAGTTTTTTTATCTCTAAATGTTTACCTCATCTTTTAATCGTGAGGGGGAGAAAACAATATTTTACTATAACCCACAAATTCGTTCTCGTGGCCCTCAAAATAATTAGCATCATTTCTAATGTGTGACTAAGACTTTTTTTATTTTTTTTCCCAGCCCAACATCGTATTTCCATCCTCGTTTTAAGTGAGGAAGCTAATAAAATGAGATGAAAGGATTGTTTTGAACCAAAACCTCGATAGTTAAGGATTGCAATGAAATTTTTTAAATGATAAAAGTATAATTGAAACGTATTCTAAATTCAATGCATGGATCGTAATCTTTACCATGTGTACAACTATTTTACCTGTTATTTTCTCCCTCAATTTTCCATCCCCATTTTAACAAAAAAGTTTGCAGAATAGAAAATTTGAAACAAATTTAAAGTCTTGGGTAAAAATGTAACATTTTGAAGTTTAAGGATATTATTGAAATGTACATTTTCAAGCCAATTTCTATAATTTAACCTTTTTTTTTCTTTTCATTTTTTTGGAGAAAGAATCATCTGTATCTCTGAGCAATCCAGCTTCCATGGGTCCCTTTTATTTGGGTGATGCCATAATGCCATATCATCAGCATTTAAAGTTTCAAGGACTGCACCCATATCTTTACAAAAAAGAAAATAATAATAATAATAATAATAATAAATATATATATAAATAAAGGAATGAAGTATATGGTGGTGAGACTTTTCAGATGATCCTCTGCCAAAAAAAACAATAATAATAGATAAAAATAATATCCCCGATCGATCCGATGAACATTAAAAATACGATTTAAGTCGATGACTCTACTTTTAAAATATTTTTTTTAATTTTTGTATTTTAAGAAGGTGATTTTGTCCTTCATTTTTATTTATATCTTGTTTTTTAGACTTAAATTTTAACTCCATCACTAATTTTATTGAATTATAGTCATAAATTTGAATTAAAAATTACTATAGCGTATAAAATTTTACAAATAAAGATAAAATTAATAATTTTTTAAAAGTTAAAAAATTAAAATAGATATTTTAAAGAGTATATTACTTAAAAGAGGAACAATCCAAAAGTAAAGTTAAAATAATATTAAAAAAAAAAGTAAAAAACAGACACTGTGCGCTAGTCTCCACTCTCCAACAGTACAGAGCATGTCTAATATATTGTCTCTGCCAACCACAAATGGGTGAAAATACTAAAAGAACTTGTTTTTATTTATTATTGGTGTTATTAGTAACTATTTGTGTAATTTTTACTTTATTATTTGTTGGAAAATTAACGGTATAATTTCTCCTCCCACAGAAATATCTAAACACAATAAAAAATATGTAAATAGAAAGAAAACTATAAAAACACCGTAATAACGATACAGTAAATTATACTGGTTCACCATTAACGACTACGTCCATTCTTCCACTCAGACGTGGATAATTCACTAATAATTATTTAAGAATTGAAATACAAAACTCTCCCCAAAGATATTTCTCAAGGGAGGCTAGGAAGTGATATTGCTGGACCTTTTTTTTTATTAAAAGTTTTTAAGGGAAAAATTGAATGTTTTGGAAAATATTAAAAAATTTTAAAGACTAAACAAAACTTTTAGATCAAATTAGAACTTAGGAGTAAATTTTAGGAATCAAACTACCAGAGTTAAAAAGTGCAACTTTCTTTTTCCCCCATATTTAAGATTAGGTTATCTTTTTATGTATTCACTTTTTTCCAATCATGTCAATAAACATTAAAAGAATAGGGTGTGAAAAATCTAAAAATAGCATTTTTTATAAAAAAATTTATCTCAATCTGATAGTATATCAAGTTTTTTTTTTCTTTTTTCAGTATTGTATAATAAATGTAATATAAGGATTTGAACCTGGTCATACATCAAAGGAAGAAGTAGATGTTATTTACTGTTAAGTTATTTTTATGTTGGCTTATAAATCGATTTAATGGAAATAATGTTAAGGATCCCACGTTGGAAAGATAGAGGTCTAATAAAAGTTTATAATATACGCTACTATTCTCATAGTCAATTGATTTTGAGATGAAACTTTATAGTCATTGTTTGAGTTTGTAGGACTTTGATATGGATATCTAATAAGAAAACGAAATTATTTTAGTATTACTGAATAAGTAAAATAGACCAAACATAATCTTGATTATATCATTTATAGGGTATCTTTTGAAGCCAATCAATACACAAAATGGTCAAATCAAACCAAGAAAATTCTCTTCCCGGTGAACTAGCCTACCCTTCATGATTAATCATAACCTTAGATTTTCATCGATGATACTACCTATAATTTGGGTCGGAAAATTTAGGGTTCATTGGGTAACATTACCGTTTTTTGTTTCTCGTTTCCAATTTTCATGAGAAATCTAAACATCTTGTAACTAACTTTATTTTTCACAATGGTATAGAAATTTTGGAAACAAACAAAACAAGTTTTTCTTTCTTGTTCCCATTTCCACTTTGTTTCAAAATATAACTAAAAATGTTGTTTTATCATACTTGAATTCATGGATATTAGAACCATGCAATTCATTTTTCTTCATTAAAAATCAAGAAACAGAAACGTTACCAAACGAGTCCTTAAAGTCTGTTTGGTTGTAAATCCAAATTTTGTTTGGAATCATTGAACTCACAATTAAGTGGATATGCGTTCCGTATAGTTTGACAAATATGTTTTTGAAAATTATTTTCAGATTTTGTATTTAAACTACGAAAATTTTAAAAATAACATTTTTATGTTTTTAGTGTTTTAGGATTTTGAATTTGACATTTTAAAATGAAGGATTACATTAAAAAAAAAAAAGAACTTTGATAAATATATTATTTCATGTTATAAACTCATTTCATTTTTGTTAAAATGAAAACATGTAAAAAGTATAATATATTATAAATTACACAACATTGTAATATATTATAAACCATCATTTTAAAAAATTACAACATTGTAAAATAATAATTATACAAAATTTATAACAAAAATGTTAACAAATTAATTAAAGTTATTTTAGATTAGACTAAATATTTAGTCAGTAACTACGACTAGTTTACAAATATATATTGCTAAATTACTAAATACATATCTGAAAACAATGAATACAATCTCGTTTTTTCTTGAATTTATTGTTTTCATATTTTTGTTACCAAACACATCCTTATTGGCTAGTCAATTTGTAGTTAAATTCACTAAAATCCTTCAAAATATATATATATATAGTTGAAGACAAAAAGTAAGAAATAGGTGCTTAATTAATAATGGATGACTATAATGATTCATATGCTATGGTGAAAGTGACATTATATTAAAAAAGCACTTGTTGTTTGTGGCCATGAGATGGATCACACAGTCCAATAAGGAGAGGCCAATTTATAAATTTTCTAACCAATCTTACATTATTTAATATCATATATAATGTTTTAAATTTCGATCCACCATAGCAAAAATGAAAATTATGCAAGTGAAATGAGATGTATTGTTATATGTTATTGTATTTTCTTTATTTACTATACAATTAGATGTATTGTCATCGAGCCCGAATCTTGTGCAAAAAGTACAAAAAATTTGAAAAATGTGTGGAGATCGTCGTCTACAAGTTGATCAATTTAAATACATTCCACGAATAAATTACAAGGTGAAAAGATAGATGCAATTTAAACTAATTAGACTTTATCAGTTGAATCGTATCTCTATATGCATAAACATTTCTTCGCGAAAACCGAATCTACTGTAGCAATCAATTGAACCATTGAAAGAGAGGGTTTTTGGTTGCATCTTCTCTTTAGATTGTGTTTGGACATTCTTTTTTCCTTAGTGGAATACAAAGTAATCAAAAAAGTTTCAATAATCATATGAAAGAAGGAATATTCCTTGCTTGTATGTTATTCACTCTCTTTTACCTTGTCTTTCAGAAGAAGAAGACAAAAGAGAACAAAAATAAAAATAAAATAAAATACATATAGAATAGTTTGAATTTTGTGTGATCAATATTCGTTGCTTAAATAATGTGAAAAAAAGGAGTTGACTCTGAATTCAATTGGTTCAAACTCCAAGAGTTTCCCATTTGCTCACCAAAAAACTTCAACTATAATTAAGATTATATTTTAGAGACAATAATGTGAATATTATTATTGAGAGAATATAGTTCATCCCATGTGCTTTTTTGAACAACTCATTTTGCTATAATTTAAATTAAAGTTGTGTTATTTAGGCTGATCTCAACCTAAGATTAAAGTATTTATATTTGATAAGAAAGTCAAAATCTTCCGCTCTAGATGTTGTACTAAAAAATTATGTTATTTAGAGTGAATTTAGTATAATTTTTGAAATTGTGAAAAACTTAGCAGACTAAAGGTAGTATTTGATTATACAACTAAAAAAGAGTTAATGGAAAGTATTATTCATATCACCGTCACAATGATTGAATGAAAAATTACCTCATTAAAATGTTTTTTCCCAACAATTTAATAATCTTAATTAATAGATGTATTGAACATTTTTCTTTGCAGTTTGCACAAGTTTAATTTTATTTAAGTAAATTCTTACTTAAAAAAAA